AGAGAGAGGAGAAAATAAAAATGACCCGCAGACGCACAAAACCAAAGAGCAAAGCCCTTCCTTCCGAACCACCTCGCGTCGCCCCGAGCGCTGCGGCTCTGCGGGAGGCCCTGCGGGACGGGGCTGCGTGGCCGGCCGCGCGTGGCCGTGTGCGGGGAGCGGGGAGCGACCCGTGGGAGCGTCCGTACAGCCCGAGGGAAAAAGCGTAAGGACCGATCCGCTGGAGGGGATATATACATGAAAAACCGACTCCTCGGTGCTAGAAGCTACAGCCACTCCAATTGAAGACCTCTCAATGACAACGATAGATGGCAACTACAGAGCGTTGTAAAAAAATCACACGTACTTCAAGAAAACTCATTGCAAACAACTGACCTATATTTACAATACTGCTATTACCTTGCTTGAATGATCTTGTGCGCCTATGTCAGACATTTACAAAAGATTTTCGCCCCATTCTGATCATAAAATAGATACTGATCTCCAGATTTCTAATACTTCACAACAATACCTTTCCTACGCAGGCACTTCAGGGTGACAAAAATAAGGGCCTTTTTTTTCTTTTTTTTTTCTTTTTTTTCTCTCTCTCTCTTTTTTTTTTTCCTTCCAGAAAATCCATTTTTAATTACCAGGAGGATTAGATGAATGGGGGGTTGCAGGTTCACCGTTTCAGCACCGGTGCTTCCTCAAACCACAGATCAACCACCAACTTCAGTCCTCCGCCCCCAGCCCGGAATTAAACAGGTAAATACACTACAATACATCTGCTACAAACTTACTGTGACAAGTAAACAAACCAATCGCCTATGGGCCTAAAGGACTGCAAACTATAGAGAAGTAATGCGGTTTCTGAAAGACATTTATGACAGCCAAACAGGTTTCAGATATCAAATAATATTTTAATTTCTGAATACTTTCAATTTTCCTTGGAATATAACACACAAAGACTCGACCAAACAGTTCAGTTATTATAACTTTTACAGTATACAGAAATGTTGCACTTAAAAAACGAAACAAAAAAATAAAACAAAAATAAAACAAAAAAAAAAACCTTCAGTTTTTTTTTTTTTTTTAAACACAAAACTGTAAACTCTAAGATACTGAATCAATCACGTTATCTATAAGTGCCAACAGTGTTATTTTGTCATGCTGATTTCAATGGTATTTTTTTTTTTTAAAAAGGGAAAATATCAACAATTATTATAATACAAAGGGCTTGCAAATATACAAACAGATAGAGGAGTTTAATAACAATTCATGATGAACTATGTGGAACCCAATTCGAATTACAAAAGTTCACTTCGCTTGTTTGTTTGCTTTTAAATCAAAACCGTGGTGTGTCTTGGACACAGTTCCTTCTACCTAGAATATAATCCCCACAGTTCATTTTCTGTCCGAAATATCAAAAAACCGAGATTTGGGGGGAGCTGTATGACACGTGTGGTTCATTCGGGTCTATATAATTATAGCTCTCTCAGCTTCAAGCTTAGATTTTGGGTCACCACCTTAAGTGCGCTTCCATCACCGTGATGTTGAGTTTGTGTTTCTCTCTCTGTCTCTCTCTGTCTCTCTCTCTTTTTTTCCTTTCTTCCTATACGATACGTTCGTGGACTCAGTTTTAATTCTTTCAGAACATATATTTTAAGGATACACAGTTTTTTTTTTTTTCTTTTTTTCTTTTTTTTTTTTTTTTTTAAAGAAGCCAAGATTATATCAAAAATTATTATAGAACCACAGAATAAACTGGTTTGAAACCAGAAAAATACAAAAAAGAACAGCTATAGGTACATAGACACATAGGACAATTAATAATTTGGAAAAAAAAGACTTCCTTCCTTCCGTTCTGCTCATTTTCTCCAAATTTCCTTTAAATGCACTTTAAGCGAGAATTGTTTAAAAAGTTGACCCCCCAAAAAAGAAAAGGAACAAAAAAAAAAAAAAAAAAAAAAAAAAAAAGAAGAAAAAAGAAAAAAAAGAAAAAGCCCACCGCCATCTCCTTCCTTCCGCTTTCTCTCTTTTTTTTTTTTTCCTTTCTTTCTTTTTTCTCTCTTTTTTTTTTTTAATTTTTTTTTTTTTTTAAAGTTTTGTACAAAAAACGATAAGTAGCAACTTGTATTTTCGGAGCGACACGGGAGTTTTTAATGCATTCTGTAAAAGTTCACGTGACAGTCTCTCTCTCTCTCTCTCTCTTTTTTTTTTTTTTTTTAATTCACAGTCCATTAATTATTTTTTTTTTTTCCTGTCTTCACTTTGCAAACTTTGTAACATCCTTTTACGTCCTTTCTTAGCAGAAGGAAATTTAAGAAACAACCAGAACCCAAATGTCATTTGCTTTCCTTTCACTCTCATCTCCCTTCTCAATTGTTATTTGATTTTTTCTTTTTATTTTCTCTCTCTCTCTCTCTCTCTCTCGAATATTTTATTGAATGGACATGTAAGGCCAGTTAAAACTGCTGCCAGACAGTAACATATCCCTGATTAGGGTTTCTATGGGGGTTTTACCTACCAAACGGACGAAAAACAATTGCTCTATGACAGAAGAGGAGACAGTGCGAAGGGAGGGGAGACGTAGTAATAGCTTCCCGAATCGTGTTGGCTGGTTGGGATACTGGCTCCTAACATACTCTTCCAAAGCACACTGTGACTTCTCCTGTAAACTTTCAACATGGGCTACATCAGAGAGACCACAGGCATCTAGAAGAAAGTGTATTAAAAAAAAAAAAAAAAAAAACAATCATCAGATTAAAAAGTTTTCTTTTTTGATTTTTTTTTTTTTTTTTTATATCTCTAGAAAGAAGCGCGCATCCTGCGCCATCACCTCGCCCCCCAGGAGTCTCCGTGGGTATCACCCATAGGGCCAATCTCTGTCCTTTTCCACACCTCTCCCTCCTGGGGGGGGGCTGCCCGGATCCCCCCACCTCCGGTGTGCAGGGAAAGGCCGGGGCGGGGCGGGGGGCGAGGGGAGGGGAGGGGGGAGCAGCTTCATCTCCCCCACTTGGAAAAGAAGCGCGGGGAGCCTAAGCGTGCGATGGGAAGGCGTGCTGATGGCAGTGATGGAAATCATCATCATAAGGCTAAAAAACCGGCCCAGCCGCAGAGAATGGCGCCCCGGATCCAGCAACAGATTCTCCCCCAGAGAAGACAACGCGTTTTTCTTCAGTCTTTGAAACTGATTTAAGTGGCCCTTTAAAACTGATCTTGTCAGTTTAGCCTATTCAGAGGCAGCCATGCAAACTGTGATCTCTCTGTTCATTTGAGCTGTTTCTTTTCCCCCCTCTTTTCTTTTCTCTTTCTTTCTTCCCCCCCTCGACTCCCCCCTCTTTTTTTTTTTTTTTTTTTTTTTTCCCCCTTTTTTCCTCTACTTCTTCTTTTTAAACCTAAAGGCCCTTACAAGAAGAAAACTCCCTGATAGGGTCTGGACATTTTTTTTTTTTTTTTCTCCCTGATACGCTAAAATACAATAACTTCCCTTTAAATCAGAGACGTCTGTGCTGAAAGAGCACAGGTTGTGACCTGACCTCCCTGTGGCTTTCCTAGGCACAGGGCTAACACATGCATATTCTGTGAGTCATTAGAACCCAGTTGTTGTGTTTTTCTTTTTTCTTTTTTTTTTTTTTCTTCCCTTTTTCTTTCTGTGTGCGTGTGTAAAAAAAAAAAAGAAAGAAAGAAAAAGAAAAAAGAAAAAGAAAAAAAGAAGGGGGGAAAAAAAAAGAAGCAGGAGCGAATCGAGTGTGTGTGTGTGTGCATCCCTGTGCATCTGCTTTCCATCAGTGCTGTTATTGGGGAGCTGTGTGCGGAGCCCTCCTTGTGCACTGGGCTATCTCCCCAGCATCGAGATAAGAAGGAACGTTTATCTCGTTGGGAGGCAATTTACACGCCAGGCCTCACATTTGGAAAATAGCAATAAATTAAACAGTTACGACAGGATCGGACGATTGTTTTCTCAGAAGGCTAAAAATAATAATCATCATCATAATCAAGTGATTTGGGGAGAAAGGAGAGGTTTCGGCTCCTCTCCTCGGGGCTGCAGCAGCCCAGTGGAGGTATAGGGGAGACATGGGGCGTCCCCATATGTGCCTGGACCCCAAACAGAGCCCCACGGGCAGCGGGCCCACACGGGACCCCCCCCATTGGGTGCTCGTGGGTCACCCCAGGACCTCAGCATGGCTGGTTGAAGGGGAGGGAGGGGGGTTGGGAGGAGAAGGCTTTTTTTTTTTTTTTTTTTAATGTGTAAAGCAATAATATATAAAAGGAAGTTTAGGTCACGACCCAGAACCTGGACAAAGTCCAGAAAATGACTTCGTTCCCCAGACCCCCTTTAAGACAACAAGGAGCGGATTGTGAGTCCTCCTTTTCCCACATAAACTACATTTTTTTTTCCTGTTTCCTGATATCAGGCTTTAAAAAACTCCGATGAGTAATTATTTTACAGGTCCTGCTTCCATTCATATGTTTATCGCGTGGCCACTTTCCCAAGCTTCCCAATGAGCTACAGAAGAAATCTAGGGATTTTTAAACTCCATCCCCAAACTTGCAGGGCTGCAGCCTTCAAGTCAGCGATCTGAGATCACATATTGCGCAAATTAGCGAGCAGATTTAAAAATAATAATAATAATAATAAAAATATTTAGCCTCCAGAGTTAATATCAGGCTTATTAGTCACCCAAGTTAAACTCTAGTGCAAGCTAATTAGATTTCACAACGCACTCAATTATTGCTTTATAACTCATGCACTATTTCTAGGCAGCAAAAGTTGACACATATTTTTCCCCCCTTCGCTTTGATGATCCCAGCAGCGCCCCGAGCTGCGCTCCTCGCCTTGTGCCACCCCGGAACTGCTCGGCAAAGCGCAGCTCCTGCCCTCTGCTCTGACTTTTTCCTGCTGTCCCCGACTGCTTATGGTAATGATCCCTCCGCACCCTCTCCTCGCTCTGCACTCTGCAGCTCCTGCTGGGTACAAATGCAAACTTTTCCCCTTAGCTCCAATGACACAGAACTGCTCGCTGCCACGTTCTGTTTCAATCAGAGACAGCTCTTTGGGAAGTTGATTTATTTTATTTTATGGGATGGCAGGGAACATATTTTAAACTCAGCTTTGCGCATTTAAGTTTTTATATTTTTCTTTAATTCAATTTTTAATCCTGCAGGGCTTTCCTCCTTCCCTCCCCGCCCCCCCTTCCTGGCTGCCCATAAAATGATACTCTTTTTAAAGTGGTTTCACTGATAGGACGCCTTGTATTTAACAACATCAAACAGATTTTTGCTGCTGTTCGGATGCGTGTCATTAAATGCAACAACCCAGAGCTAGACTGTTAAATAAAATATTATTTTCGATGGGAAAAGCGCAGTCTCTTGTGGCGAATGGGTGCCTCCCCCCGAGTCCCCTCTTCCCCCTTCCCCAGCCTGACGCAGCGAGGCTCGGGGTGCGCTTCCCCTTCTATTTCTCAGCGTTGAGATGGGTTATTTCCCCCTGCAGCCCACGCTGGGGGGCTGCTGAGAGCCGAGGCCCCGCGGGTAGCCCCCCAGCCCCACTCCTGGCAGGGCAGCGGGGCTGGCGAAGGCAGCAACACTTTGCAAAGAGCAAACACCTCTCAGAGGGGCAGGGGAAGGAAGGGGAGAGCAAAGAAACGCTGCCTACCTGAGGTGAAGAGGACTATGGCCTTTAAACAGCTATACTCTGCGGAGTCGACATGCAACGCTTTCAGTTTTTCTACTTGCTCTTGGAAGATTCGTATGTGGTCCATAAAGGCGACCACTCGGTCAGCAGACATTGGCGAAGCGTGGAGGCCGGCGGCTGCCAGCAGCGGGGCTACGTGGAGGGGCATGGAGCACTGGGCGGCGTTGAGCACGAACAACTCGCTCCAGGTCAGCCTGAGCAGGGCCACCTGGTCTGTGATCTGCAGGTCTGGGAAGAAGGGGATATTCCTGGCCCACTCCACAGCGCTGAAGAGCATCCGAGCTGCCAGTTCGCAAATGTTCTCGATGCCCATGATGTTGTTGGGTTGCATGCACTGACTGCCAAAGCGGGAGGTGGGGTAGGGCTCTGCTCTCAGAAGAAGGGAGATATATCCGGATAGGTAGGAATGGCAGTTGAGAGGGTCCCCGTTTGTCAAGGCGAACTGACCGTGAGTTGGCTGTGTGGGTGGCATTCTGCCCCTCTGGACCGCTGCAGTGAATAAAGAAGAAACTACAGCTATTAATATCTGAATTGCTCCGAGCGCCGCCAGCCCCGAGCCCGCTCCGTGCGGCCGTGCCACGGCCCGAGCCCAGCGCGTCCCCGGCCCGGCACAGCCTCACCTCCCGCACACGGCAGGACCCAGCGATCCCCCCCCCTTCCACCCCTCCTACGGCCACGCTTTGTGTTTTCCTTCATTCCGACCAAAGCAGCTTTATCGATTTGGGGCTGGGGGAGAGGGCCGGGCAGGGGGCAGAGGGCACCGACACTTCGCAACCCCCGAAAAGAAAAAAAAAAAGAAAAAGAAAAGCGAGGAGCGAACAGCCCCAGCATCACCTCCCCCCCAGGGCCGGGCTTTATCCGGCGGCACCTTCCCGTGGAAGCGGGCCTGTGGCGTTTTGTTCAGACATTGACACGGAGAGAGGAAAAAAGGAGAGAGAAAAAGGGGCCGGGGGACAGGAGGACGGCGGGGAGGGGACGGCGGACACCGCGCTCGGGCTCTGCTCGCTACCGGCCGCGCTCCGAGCCCGGTTTCCCCCGCAGGAACACAAAGAGGAGCCCGGCAAGTCCCGAGCCCCCCTCACCCTTAACCTACATAGCAGCGTCCAGACGCGCTGCGGGGCCGCGGGCTCACATTTCCCGGCTAATTTTATAGCACAAAGCCCCCATCGCCCCTCGCTTCCTTCTGGGTGCTGCTTCACCCCCGTGGGAAGGACGGGGAGAAGGGAGGAAGGAGAAAAGTGGGGTCAGAGAGAGGGGAGAGGCAGGAACACGGCGATACACACACACACACACACATACGGAGGGAGGGAGGGATGTGTCTATGTGTTTTTAGAGGAGGGAAAATCCGGTCGGGAATCCACAGTGGAGTGCTGTAGAGCCCTCGGGAGGGTGAGTTCCATTGTAACCGTAATTCGAACCGCCTGGGTTAAGCCGAGGGCCGGGGGCTGAATGCGAACGGGGAGCTCCGAGCATGCAGGGGGGGACCGCGGGGACAGCGAGCGTCCGGCTGAGCCATCGGCTCCGGAGTGGAAATCCGTCCCCGAGCAGCCGCCCCCCGGCACACGGCGACGGCCGCGGTGGGTTCCGGGGCAGCATGCGGGAGCCCCCTCCTCCCCTCCCACGGTTCTTTCTTTCAAGAAGAGAAAGTTTATTTGGGGAGGGGGGGAGGGTTCTGGTGGGGTTGAGGTTGGGGGGTAGGGGGGGGGAGAGGGGTAGGGGGGAGGAAGGGAGGTTAACAATAAAAGCATAATCGTCATAATTCAAAATAATCAGAATAATAATAATAAAAGCAAACCTAAAAGGCAGCGGGTGAGGAAAAAAATAAAACTGCAAAACAAATGAAATCCCAATACCTTCCCGTCTCATGCCAACTTTGAGGCATTTTTTGAGGCGGCAGTACTGACACTGATTGCGGTGGTGCTGGTCAATGGGACAGTTCCTGTTGGCACGACAAGTGTAGCTGAGATTCCTCCTTACACTCCGCTTGAAGAAACTCTTGCAACCCTCGCAGGTAAACTGGCCGTAGTGTTTGCCACTAGACTTGTCCCCACAAACCACGCACTCAATGTGCTGCTGCTGCTGCTGCTTGTCCCCTTGGCTCTGCTGGCTCGCCGCGTTGCTCTGCGCTGGCGTGCTGGGGGGGCCGCCGGGCCCCGGGGTCTGCGGGGTGTGCGGGGTCCCGGCCGGGGGGCCCTGCACCGGCGGGGCGGGCGCTGGCTGCGTTCCCTGAGCTCCGGGCACATCGTCCTGGGGGTCTCGCCACGCACCGACTACCATTGCCATATCTATTGGACACCGTTGCCAAACTTCCTGTTCCCCCTTTATTTTCAAAGTTTGTTTGCTTTGCTCTGCAGCTCAGCTTTGCAGCAGTTTGCTTTTTTTCTCCTCCTCCTTTCTTTCTCTTTCCCTCTCTCTCCCTTTTGTTGCTTTAAAAAAAAAAAAAAAAAAAAAAAAAAAGAAGATATATCTTTAAAATTTTTATTTTTTTTTTCTCCTTTCTCCGAAGCTCCCCGGCGCCGAGCACGGGGAAGAGCGAAGGGAGAAAGGGAGGGGGGGGAGAGGGAGAGAGAAAGAGAGAGAGGAAAAAAAAAAAAAAAAAAAAAAAAAAATCCCTTCGCCGCTGTGCCCGCTGCTCTCAGCGCCGATCCGCAGCGGAGTTGCCGGCGGAGAGGCGGGTGGTGCCGGGGGGCCAGCTCCAGGGCAGCTCGCCGTCAGCCATTCAGGAAAGCCATCAAGGCGCGGACGAACAGCCGGGGAACGCCGCGGCCGCGGGCGGCGCGGGGCGGCGGGCGGCGGGGCTGCTGGGGGCCGCTCTCGCCGCGAGTCCTGCGCGCCGCAGCCACATCCACCGCCGCGCTCCGCTTTGTGTGTGCGGGCGGCTTTTTTTTTTTTTTTTTTTCTTTCCTCCTCTCTCCGCGCTCCGTCTCTCCTCCTCCCTCCTCCTCCTCCTCCGCCGGCTTTAATTCTTCCTCTCTTTAATTCTTCCTCGCGCCGCGCTCGCTGCTTTCTCTCTGTCTCTCTCTCTCTCTTTTTATTATTATTATATATTTTTTTGCCTTTTTTTTTTTTTTTTAAAAAAAAAAAGGGGGGGCCGCTTTATTAATTCTCCCCGCTCGCCGCTCGCCGCTCGCTCCTCGCTGCCGCCGCCCGGGCTCCGCCGCGCCGCTGCTGCCTTATGCTGCTTGTGCCGCCTCGCAAGTGGGCTCTCGCCTCCGCGCCGCCGGTGCTCACGGCGCGGGCGGGGGGGGGGGGGGGGGGGGGGGGGGGGGGGGGGGGGGGGGGGGGGGGGGGGGGGGGGG